TTACTCACGAGATATCCGATCTCATCCGGCCTCGAACCGGCGTGAATGAGCAGTGTGTGTCAATAGATTTTACACTTTTGCCTTTTTTTGGACAACAGCACGATACAGAGTTTCGAACCGGTCACCCGTCCATCCACTATTATCGCCTTACGTCGCTTAACTTCGGTGTTCTAATGGGAACCGGTGTTTCGACGTAGCTGGGCCGTTGCCTTCTTGATACCTGTGATCATCTTAAACTGTAAATAAACAGAGGGTTTATTTTTATTTACATTTTATGTGTATGTACATATGTTTTGTGTGTCTTTTTAGTTTACCATTTTTTTACATGTCTATGGATATTGCCGATTTTCCCGACGACGATTACTTTTTAAACTATCATGCACCCTGTACATACATTCATCAATATGTTCGGTCTTATCAGCAATTCTAAGCAAACACTATAGGAAAAAAAGTGAGGAGATAAATTCCACTTAAGTAGGTTGTAATGCTCGTCGAGGGTATTACAGCATTGCCAACCCCAATGTAGCTGATTGATACTTCACGTAATAATATTTGGTCAGATTACCGGATTACGCAATGCGAGAGAGCTCTTGGGGTATTAGTAAAATATTTCATGGAAAAGGGAAGCAACTGATGATTGATATATTAGATGAAGTTTAAGAACACCTTTAAATGAATAAGTAATACTTGAATAGGAATTCAAATACATACACGGTGGCCCATTAGTGCGATGAAGTCCAATAGCGTCGTTGTTGTTGAAGATATCAAAAAAAGTTTTATACAGATGTTGCACGGTTTATTTATAATGGTGCAATTGCTTGAAAATTTTTACAAAAGTTCTGTACGCAAGTAATAATTTGATTAGTTTTAGTAGTACCCATTTAAGTATTATTTTTTGATCTTCTGTATATTCAAATCCATAGATGTAAAGTTATTTAGTATTAGTAATATCGAAAATGTGGTTTAGATGTTATACAGGGTGGTCCGAATTGCATTCGGGAAACTTCGGCAGCATAATTCTGCAAATAAAAATAACTAAAAAAGGTCGTTCTAAAAATTTATGTTCTAAAATGCTTCGTTTCGGAGATACAGGGTGTAGAAGATTTATTTTTATTTGGAATTTTTTCAAATAAGTTCTGAACTAACATTGATATCTGAACGAAAATTGTTTTTTTACATGAGAAAGTTGATTCTGATATCAATATGACTCCTGCTTGTAGAGGGTGCCATCTACATATGTTTTACATGGTTTGAAGAGTGAAATTCCGTGCGGAAAGCTTGCAGCGTTATATTATAAGTGTCAGTGTCAAAAAATTAATTGACGCTGTTTCAACACCCATGACACACTGAAAGGTGTCAGCCAGGGGCGGCTCGTAGCACTGGAAGATGGTGAGGCACATTAGAAGAGAATTTTTATTAGTATGTATATAGGGTGACCATTAGTACGAGGAAGTCCAATATCTTTGTAGTTGACAAATATATGAAAAAAAAGTTCTATATAAAAAAAGTGCATATCCTAAAAAAATATTTTCTTTAAAATTGCAATCGCATTACCATTTTTCTGTACAGAATTGGGTTCAGCATACATCACACTATTGATTTATTTGAAGCACTATATATGCGGAATTTCCATGATAATTTATATTTGAAAAATTTCATTTTTTAAAAAGTGGTAAAAACCTGGAGTGAATTTAACTTATTGATATATTATTGCTTAAGTATGTATATAGCGAGGTATGTAGGACAAAAGAAGAAATCCGAGAAAAAATTACATTATTTTATACAGGGATTTTTTTATGGCACGGCCAACATTGCAATATTATAATGCTATATCTCAATTTTTTTAAATGCAATACACACTATATTATTTTTAGTATTTTAGATACCCTATAGACTTAAAAAGCGCACATTTTTGTATTTAAAATATTTCTAAATTTTTAGCAGTTGCCTTAAGCCTTATGTAATATAATTCGCAGTATTATACCGTATAAAAACGGCGTCAGCGATGGCTATGAAATGAAGATCGTTATCATTTTATATGTAAAATTATATGGGAAATGTCATCGATCGTCATTTTCAAGCCAACTGGACGCCGTTTTTTTTCGATCATACGGTACCTATTATCCTTCTATTGCAACAGTATATTCTATGCAACAGTAAATTTTTATCAAAGCGACCTCAAGATATTTTGTCTTATATTTTACTCTGTATGGTAAAATTTTGTTTTTCTACCCATCCTATAAAAATAAAACAAAATGAAATCTCTGTAACAGGTTGCTTTACTTTTTGACTATACGAGTACACAATTTATCTAGAAATGATTCGAATTCGAAAAGCTTTACCTGGGGAGTCCTCTGATGATGCATGTCCCTCTAAATCATCATATCAATCAACAAGTCACTGCCCACTTTTTAGGTATTTACTTAATACGTTGTAATCAGTAAGACGAGTAATTAAACATGCAATTCACATTAAAAAACGTATATATTAATCAATTAAAGACAAAACAGTGCAATAACCGGCAGAGTTAATTCAAACTGTTATTCAAACTAATACAAATTCCCAAATAATGCAATTCTGCATTTTCAGCCTGTCGCCTAAAATCTCTCGGGAAGTGATACATATTTTTAACGAACGGCTTTTAAGGCTTAAACTTACATTTGAGGCTCGCCTCAATACGGTCTTTTTACGCGCTGCTACTCCATACATTTTATCTCTCTTCAACTAAAGGTTTTGCCAATGCTTTTTCTTTTCATTCTATAGATTTAAGATTCCAGTGAACACTGTCGCTCCGTCAATGCTATATACCACAATACGTTAGACAAGGAAAGGCGAGAGGCAAACCTCTGCACATATACTTCTTAAAGAACAAATGAGATGGATATATATGAGGGGCTGAGTTCCAAAACTAGTTTTATCCAAATTCGTTAATTTTCAATAATCGCAAAAAACGAACAGCAACTGAATTAGTCTTGGAACAAATGCACGACTTTAACATGTAAATTATACAGGATAGAATGAGTTACGCCACAAAAATGATGCTGAATATTGTGCAGGGCTGCCAATACTAGACTATAGATACTTTTACTCAAAATTACCAAAAATGGATAAGACGAGTTTTTGAAACTCAACCCCTCATATATATATATATATATATATATATATATATATATATATATATATATATATATATATATATATATATATATATATATATATATATATATATATATATATATATATATATATATATATCGTTGAGTTTGTCGCATATGGGAAAGGAAGCGCGCGTTTAAAGGAACACCATCGACGTAATTTATTGTAGAATGACGGATAAAAAATACAATTATTATTGATGCATATAGGGGAAAAAATATAAAATTGTGATTAAATATGTATCGATTAATACGTGTAATTCTTCAAATGTATTGGTGAGGCACTGCCTCATCTGCCTCATAGGACAAGCCGCCCCTGGTGTCAGCACAAAAGTGCCATACAACACAGTGTTACACATGGCTATTGAAGAGTAATAACTATTCGTCTCTACCTGTATAAAACTGCTGAGTGAAGAAATATACGTTCCCTTCGTTTTTTACGTAAAAAAGTATCTTGGTAAAAATCGCTATGAATAATGGGTTTCGAGATATTTGGAATCGAAAGAATCAATACATGTCATCATTGAAATAAATTAATTAACAGGTTGACTAGATAGTTATTAGACTAAAATAATAAATTTGAATTGTTTTTGTGCCTAAGGTTCAACAAAAACTGTTTTATCGTAATTTTTTTGAAGACAAATTTATTATGAATTTAAAAAAATAAATAATTATTATTTGAAAAAAATGTCAATAATGACATGTATTGATTAGAAAATATCGGAAATGTATATTTTTCACTAAGTAGTTTTATACAGGTACGGACGAAAAGTTATTATGCTTTAAAAGAGTTAAAAACATGTAGGTGGCCCCAGTCAGTGGCGTAGCTATCATAGGGCAGTTCGGTGCGGAAATATTTAATAAAAAATATATATTATTTTGGTTTTGTTCTTTACTCAAAAATATCTTGCACCGAGGCCCCCTGTTACGCCACTGGGTGGCGCCTCCTAAAAGTAGGGGTGATATTAACATCGAAATGAAATTTCTCATGTCAAAAAACACCCAGACACTAATTTTTATATAAATATCGACTATAGTTCGAATATTATTTGAAAAAAAATGAAATTATTACACCCTCTATCTCCGAAACGAAGCATTTTAAGACATTACATTTACACCAACTTCTTTACTTATTTTTATCTGCAGAATATGCTACTGAAGTTTTCTGAATACAATTCGAACCGCCCTGTATAGTAGAAAACTGTAAAAAAATTATTTAGAGTAAATTTAAAATTTTCTGTTTATATAAATTGGCAGTCTACAAGCCAAACACATTAAAGTCTGATTTTCACACTTTTGCGATATTTTATAGTTTATATCTCATTTGATATAACTATTATACCGGAAAAAGTCGTCTAAGTATTTTTCATTATTATTTTCATATTCATTACGTTCATAATAACGTTTATGAAAAATGCACTATTTTTTTGGATTTAGCATGTTTTGCTTGAAGATCGACAAATTATTCTTCATTCCATTTTATTTATGTATTGTATTTATTAATATTCGTGCGCTGATGCTGATCCGGTATTGTAAAACAAAAAACAAATACAAAATATGTATGTTTTTTTGTTGAATTTAACAGTTTAAATCGCCTATAGATTCATCAAAATCTTTATCCAAATAGAAAATAACATATGTGGCTCACTGCTCCATCTAGCGACTTGTATGCGAACTAATTCATTAAACCTGGTAGTTCACTTTTCAGCTTGGGTGTTTTGTATGGAGAATGGCCACTAGATCTCAGAACTAGTTAAAAAGTTAAAAAAATAAAAATTTTCCATATTAATATAATGATGATACTGAAAATTAATAAAAATAAAGGACAGAATATATTATATAGCATTCAACTGTCTACTATGTACATTTTATTACTTAATTTAGAAAACGACATCAAGAAATAATTTATATACAATACTTTAAGTAGGTTTGCCTGGATTTAAATTCATACCTAACATCTTACAAGATTTTGTATTACAATTTTTAACAAGTTTTAAGTAATTTATTTCTTCCATCCAGTCTCTTGGTTCGAATATCTGGTAAAAAGTATCTATAAATAAAATACAAACTATAGGCACAGAATATCTAGCTACGCAAAAGCTACTTGCGTGGCTAGATATTCTGTGCTATAGGTAACGCATATCGCATCAAAAAGATCATGATTATATTTGTTTTAAATTGCTGATAACTTAAATGTGTAGTTTGATTTTGTAATCATTGCTTCCTTTACTTAATGAAATATTAAACTTGGATTCTTAACATTTGTGTAATGACGACAGTCAAAACTTAAGAAAAATGAAAACAAAGTAGCATTGAACTATTTGCTATACAGGGTGGTTCGAATTGTATTCGCGAAACTTCGGTCGTATATTCTGCAGATAAAAATATGTAAAAAAGTTCCTATAAATGTGTATGTCCTAAAATGCTTCGCTGCGGAGATACAGGGTATAGAAGTTTCATTTTTCTCTCCCTTCATCCGGGGTTTTCAAATAAATTTTGCACTGTACCTATAGCCGATATTTGGATAAAAATTGGTGTCTGGGGCCTTATTAATTGTAAGCGGCGTTACCTACATAGTTTTTAACTGTTTTGAAGAGTGATATCTTTTTGTCCTTACCTGTTTAAAACTACGAAACTACGGTGTGAAAAAATACACATTTAGGTAATTTTTTACGTAAAAAAGTCTCTTGGAAAAAATCGATACCAGCAACCGTTCTCCAGATAATTAGAATGGAAATAGTTAATACATGTCTTTATTGACAAAAAATAGACATAGTTATTGGAGTGAAATGATAAATTTGGTTTTTATGTTTTTAAATTAATCATTTTTTTTTCTTCCAGTAAATTATGGTAAAACAGTTTCTGTTGAACATTTGGCACAAAAACATTTCAAAGTTATTATTTCAGTCCAATAACTATCTAGTTAACATGTTTAATTTATGCCAATGATGATATGTATTGATTATTTCGATCGATTACAAATATCTCCAGAACCATGAATTTTAGCGATTTTTACCCAGAGACCTTTTTTACTTAAAAAGTGGCGGAAATGTATACTTTTTTCCTTAGTTTTATACAGGTAGGAGCAAAAAGTTACTACTCTTCAAACCAGTTAAAAATATGTGGGCTGCGCCCTCTACAAGTAGGAGTCATATTGACACCAAAATTAGTTTTTTTACCTACCAAACCACAAAAACTTCCAGGTGCCAATTTTGATCCAAATATCGACTTTAGTTCAGAAATTAATTAGAAAAATCGATATAAAAATTAAACTTCTACACCCTGTATCTCCGAAACTAAACATTTTAGAATATAAGTTTATACAAACTTTTTTACTTATTCTTTTCTGCTGTATATGCTGCTGAAATTTCCCGAATACAATTCGGACCATCCTGTATATAAATTATAAAAAATTAAATTTATAAAACGTATCAGAAAGTAATTTATTAATAGCATGATTTAAGTATAGACTTATGTTTGACTAGTTTTAAAATATTTCATACCTATCATCTTAGAAGATTTTCTTTTACAATTTTTAGCAATTTCTAAGTAATTTATTTCTTCCCTCCATGCTCTTGGTTCGAATATCTGGTAAAAAGTATTTATAAGTAAAATACATATACTATTCGCAGTATAAAAAATGCCTTCATTAAATATAACTTAAATTGCTGATACTTACAGTGTAGTTTGTCTTTGAATACATTGATTTTTTTTTCTTTATTAGTAATTTTAAACTTGGAGTGTTATTATTAGTGTAATAAAGTCAGAGTAAGGTAATGACGACAGTCAAAATTATTCAAAATAAAGACCAAAGTAGCATTCTCTCTTTCGAACTGTCTACTAAATTTATAGATATTATTAATAACAATATAATTCCCTCTCTCCAAATGTATGAGATAATTGAATATCCCAAGTTTGTTTGGAGTAGCGTTTGCAATACTTTTATTAATTAAATCATCTCTCAAATATTTTTTACATCACATACAATCATTCTGTTTAATAGTGCTTGTATGATAATCTTTTACTAGCAATTTTTTAATACAAACATTTATAAATATATTTTGTTTTGTAGTACATTAATTTTTCCGACTTTGTATTGATAATGTAAAAATTTGTGAGTATTAAAATATAGTCATATACCTACATACCGTATACGTAACAGCAGTAAATAATTGTTAAATTATGGCGAATGCGCCAGATTTATAAGGATCTTGGATATAGCTTGGAGACGATCTGCATTTTGTATTAGGCAAGGGTCCTTTTGTTTAATAATGTATATTATATATTAATTATAATTATTAAATACATACTAATTAAGTAATTAGTAGTTTTAAAGTTACTCGTATAATCTGTACTAATCTACGGTAGTGCCCCCGCAGTCTATAGTTCGCCAAGTTGAGCACAGCATGAGCACAGCCGTATAGCCGTATCATCCTTTTCTCGAAGGTATTAGCGGCACTTTTGACCACCCTGTAACTTCGTTGTCGATAAAGCAAGAATATTAATTTTCATTACACATGAAAACATACTATAGCTGGCTAGGTTACTAAAATATCTAGTAATTATACCATAGTAGAAGGAAAACAGTAGGTGCACTCTCCCAAATATTTTCTGCCAGTTTTTACAATCTGTCGAATATCGGCAGATTGCAGAGCAACCAGAGTGTTTCAGTTGAGTTCCGTCCGTCGACCTGCCTCCTGCTTCCGAGGTTCGAGCGTTGCGTCTCAGCACCAGAGACGGATTGACAAAACATGAGTGCCTTACTGTGTGCTGAAATTGGTTGTAGTACAAAAAATTGTGCTTTGAGTTTTTTTGATAGTCATTTTTGATCATATTTGTGTTCAGGTTAATTTTCTCATGACTGATTACTGCTTAATAATTTGATATTATTTTCATTTAAACCTCAATTTTTTATCGATTTTATTTTTGATAACCATCCCTTGCTTGCTGTTTAACGAACTGCACCATCATTGAACAAAAATTTGCTAATACCGAAAGTACCGAAAAAAAAAACTGGAAATCTCGGTTCCTTAGAGGCATGGTACCGAAATTACCAGTTAACGTGCCATAACCGTAAATCGCCCTATACATGGTGAGTCTTAAATAAGTGCCAATACTTTTAGGGGATTTAAATTTGAGCCTGGAAATATAAGAATTTTCTGTGCAATTTTTTTTTGAAAAAAAAATCTGGAAATTTTTTTAGTTTTTAGTTAAAAAACATAGTTTCTTGATAATATCGTAATTAGGGTTCAGAACCGGAAATTCCCGGTTCTTTTGAGACACCAATGAACCGGGACTCGAAATTATTAATTACAGGTTCTTTCGGTTTGGTAACCACCTTCGGGACTCGGTACTTGGTAACAATAACTAAAAAATTATTTTTTATTACGTGAGAAAGTAGTGATGCTATTTCTCATTGTTCTTGCTTCTTTTCTCTTTTGAAATTTCTGTAATGTTTATTAGCAATTATTGAAGTTTAAATATGTTATTTTAATTTAGTACAATGTGTTGTTCAATGTATTAGTTATCCAATGAAAATCACCTAACCAATATATTACTACAAAACAAACACACAATGGCGGACTAAGCCTGCCGGCGGTGAAGTTAAATGTGGCCCCCGGTCTGTTCAAATAATGATATACTTGTAGCGTTTTTTATAAAACATTACCACTGCGAACGGCAGCTTTTCATCGGAGAGCAGTCGTGGATAAGGTATTTCACTGGAAAGAAAACTAATTAATAACAATAAACAAAAAAAAAATATATATTGGGCGCCAGGCATGTACAGAGAAAGAAAACACAGTTGTATATTACTTAAAACTAATGGCTATATTTATTCATGATGAATTCTGATGGTAAATAGCATTGTACAATTTTAATAATTATTATAGTGGTTAAATACTATTACAAGGCGTAATGTAATGAAACCTAAGATCTAAATCATATTGTAACTACTAAATCGACATAAATGTTCTTAATAATCTAACCTCTAAATATAGTATGTACGATATTATTTAAAATGTACGTTATTAAGTTAAGACTGAAAATCGACTGAAAACCAGAACCTAAATCTACACTTAGCTGTTCTTGAGGCAATCCTGTTTCGAAGAGTAGCAGCGTGAGGTGGGCTCATATCTCTGTACTCGGCCATCCAATACAACAAAAGGGGCCAGAATGAGGACACCATGAATGAATACAGCCGTAACTACTAACTGGCTTATAGATGGGAGCGAAGCAGCATGGGGCTTACGCTGTATCCATACTGTAGCAATATGGGGACACTACCCGTACCTTAGAACACTACTAGGATCTTGGATAATGTCCGTAACTTGGACCATAACCTTGGACCATAACCTTGGACACAGTCCGTCCATAAGATAACGGTACAAGGGACCCGTACCTTGGAAATAGTCCGTCCGTAAGATAACGGTACAGGGGAACACTACCCGTACCTTGGACAGTTCGTCCATAAGATAATGTACGTCCATAAGATAATGTACGTCCATAAGACCCTAAAAATACGAAACTCTTGTTTAAAAAACCAAACAAGGTCTAATAAACAAAATAAACCTACCTCGAAACACTTCCGAGGGCTCAATAATAAACAAAAGAACTGTCCTTTCTTCCATTTAACATTCTGGAGGACAACAGCAAAAGTACACCAATGTATCAGCAAAATACAAATACGAGTTAAGGTGGGCCAAACCAAAACTCTAAAAATATTCAATAATAATATCGAATCTATAAAAGATAATAACTCATCTTTACCTGTAGCTTCGAAATGGCAGCTGATTCAGATTTTGCAGCAAGATTTAAATTGCCATTTCTAAAAGCCGGGATACAACAGAGCGGCAAAACAAAGTGAGGTTAAGCACGGAGAGAGTTGACAGAAGCGATGTTGACAGCGCCTCCACAGAGCGATAACAGGGTTGTGTCGAACGATAACAGAGTTGTGGACTAGAGAACGTAAAAATTACGCCAAGCGCGTCAAATAAATTATCCGGCCTGAACGATAGGGAATCCGGTGATGATAGGCCAGACATCATATATTATATATAAAAAAGACATGTAACGAACTAAAAACGTTACATACTTCTAATGTACATTTTGTAAAGATGGAATGACGTATGTATAATGGTTGAGAAAATTCAAGTATTTATACAGGGTGTCCCAGGCTGAGCGTGCATTAGAAGTTTCTAGAGAACTACAATATCTAGATCGGAGATTTTTTGCACATCATTGTTTCACAACGAGATCTATTGATTAAAAACATTTTCAATATGGCGGCACTTCCGGAAGTACCTGTAGTTGACAGCAACTTTCTTATTTTAAACGGGTGCCCTCATTTTTTTACATACTTAAATTCTCCCTAAAATTTTATGAATTTTGATATTAAACACTCTATAACTAACGTTAACTGTTTTTGAGGAAAAAAAATATTTATAATTTTTGAACAAAAAAACTTCTTGTCAAAAATATGTGTATAGCCTAAATGTCAAATTTAGTGATTACCACAGACCACAGCCACTGTACCATAAAGAGAAGACATGTGGCTATCTATTTCAAGAATTAAATTGTGTTTGAATAAAGCATTGTGGCCGAATGTATAATAATGGCCGAAGCTGTCATGGAATTGAGCGATAATCAGGTGACAAGAAAAATATACCTTTTCAAACTAGATCTTAAATAACTTAAAAACGATTTATTTTAGGTATAGGAATATGTATGGTTAAAGAGTAACGACTGGTAACGAATTGAAAAACCTTTTCCCTAGTGAATAATTGTTTCAAGTTTCCTTTGAATAAAATGATTTATGTGATGTTAGTAATTCAGCTACCACCATTTGAACAATTTAATTTTTGAAATAGATAGCCACATGTCTTCGCGTGGCTGTGTCACAGTGGTTTTACACAGTTTATGTCACAGTGGCTGTGGTAATCGTAAGGGTAATTGCTAAATTTGACTTTAAGGCTATACAAATTTTTTTGCCAGGTAGTTTTTTTCGCCCAAAATTTTTAAATATTTTTTTCTCAAAAATGGTTAACGTTAAGTATAGAGTGTAACATCGATATTCATAGAATTTTACAGAGAGTATAAGTATGTAATAAAAATGGGGGCACCCATTTAAAATAAGGAAGTTGCTGTCAACTTCCGGTACTTACGGAAGTGTCTCCATATTGAAAATATTTTTAATCTATAAATCTTATTGTAAAACAGTGATAACTCAAAAACGATAACATCAATTTTTTAAAGCTTATAATAATATTTTTAAATCGAAAAACGAATACAATTTGATGTAATAAAACAAGTAATAGTCAACTAAATTAGAGGTGGCAAAATTAAATAATAATTCACCACAAAATATAAAACGATACCACAAAATATAAAACGAAATATAAAAAGATTTATATATATTCTGCTGATGATTTTAACATGGTTAGCGAAATGCGCGTCTAGTGCAAAAATAAAGTGTTTTGGTGTATTGTGGTGAATTAGTGTTTTATTTTGCTGTTGTAGTGGTGAATTAGTGTTTTATTTTGCTGTTGTAACACCAAAGGTTCCAAACCCAACTGTAATAAATTAGAGGGATTAAATTATTGAACATAATTTTGCTAACGAGCCACATACTTCCTTCCATTCACCGGCCCTGCAATATTAGATCAGGAAATTCCCGAGCGAACGTTCGCATGTATTTAATGGCAACTTATGATGACAAAGTGATGGAAATACCGGTTCCACAAATGAGCCGCGTTACTTTCGCGACCGTTCCAGGGAAATACCGCTACAAAATATCGCGATTTTGTAAGTTCTCCAAGATTCGAGGGGCCCCTTCGCTGTCTCAGGCTTCTATTT